TACCTACGTTTCCCATTCTTTTTGCATCTATTTTTTGATTCAGTTGTTTAACAAGCTGTGTGTAGTCCTGTTGTATTTTACAGCATAAGATCATGTCATCTACAAAAACTAGTAGAGAAGTCCATTTCAATGTATTTGCCTGCTAAGTAGACATGGGTTTGTTCTGAAACCTGGTAAAGGCTCCATCATGTAAAGTTCTTCATCTAATTTACCATTCAAGACTGCAAATGTTATATCAGCTGCTCTACATGAAACTGTTTAGATGCTGAAATAGTTAGTAATATTCTGATTGTGCTGGACTTGACCATGGGTGCATTGCTTGCCTTCTCCATACTTCTAAATAAGTCAATTTGCTACTAGTCTAGCTTTGTAATCGATCACATTTTAATTTGCATCTAGTTTTTGTTTAAATACCTATTTGCAGCCTATGGCATTTGATTTTTAGATAACATAGTAAGTAGTAAGTTTTTGTTTAAGGATGTAATACATTATTTTGCTGTTCCCTTCCACCTAGTGTTTCCTGTAGTAGAAAGTGTATCAATTTCATTCCATTCATATGTTGACACTGATATGGCAAGATAGGCCAGGTTAGTATCTTAGAAAAATACTATGTACAGGCACTCTTTTATCCGTATTGGTGCAAAGTATCGAGGTGGCCAAAATACCTCAAAATATACAAAATACAAAAAATGATGATACTGCACTCAAAAATTTTTGAGTGCAGTATCATCATTTTTTGTAGGTTAGTATCTTAAACTCTCTTGTTCTTTCGGGATGAGCATCTAGGAATTGGTTCTAAAACTTGATCAGCAGTATCTGGCACATCAAAATGTTTAACTTACTTGATTTACCCTTCTGCCTGTGCAGAAGGGGATAGAGATATCTGTTATTGAGGCCTCAGTCTTTGAACTCTGCATGCAGACTGTATCCCTTCTGTCAGATCATTGCACAAGCAGCTCATGTACATTAGTTTTTTTTCTTCTTCACGTTGTTTAAGGTCCAAATCACTTGTTGCTTGTTCCCTTTCCTAAAAATAAGCGTTCAACCTTTAGATGGAGCTAGGAAGTGCTTTTTCAAGGGAAAGCCTATATCTCCCCTCCCTCATTAGCCCTTCCCAACTCTCTGGATTCCTTAATAGTCCTCTCTCTCTTATTCACCTTTCATCCCCTGTTTCCCCAGAATGCACACATACACTCTGAGATGAAGAGAATGGCCCAATCAAATCCTTCTCTACGAGGACCAAGGAAAGGGAAGAAGTGATGCGCCATGACGGGGCGTGGGAACACTCTCTGCACTCTGAGATGGAGAGAACGATCCAATCAAATGCTTCTCTATTAGGACCAAGTATAGGGAAGAAATTATGCATTGTGATGGGGTGTAGAAACGCTCACAAAGAGCATCACTCAGTTCAGGATTTAAAGTAAGTTATCTATATTTACAGGGTTTGGGGTTATAGTAACCCTTTAAATGTATAAAGCTTGGTTTAGAATTTCAGTAGTAATACTCGTATTATTTGAATTACATTCACAAACTACATTTATACATTCATTTATAAATTCCACAAACCCATGTATCTTCTTTGCCATATTGCATCTTGGATCCAGAGAGGGTAGTGTCACCCTGCAAATTGACACAAGGTCTTCAAACCTAGAGCCAGTTATTAAAAGGCTCTAAAAAAGGTGAACACTCATTTTTACTTTATTTCGGATAAATTTGACACCAAAGCTTGAAATACTGCACCCAGAGGTTTCCTGTTAATTTTTTCCTTTACATGTACCATTGTGAGGAATAAAAGGAATTTACCAACATGGGGGTACGGTTGCCTACCTTAAAGGCACAGAAGCCAAAGTGTTTAGAGCCTATACCCACGTAAAAGGCTCTAAATATTGTGAGTTTAATTTCACTCACTGCACAAAAAGTCACTTTATTTTTAGCATACAATATTGCACTATTTTCAGTTTTTTCTTTCTATCTTTTTTCTATGTACAACCCTCACAAACTTTGAGAGTAAGTGTGTGTTTTTTACATCAGACACTTATATAGTGCTGCACTCTAACTAGCCAAACTCTCAGTTGTTTTTAAATTTTTTTATAGTGGGATTTTGGAGTACCCACAGAGTGTATCCAGCAGCTAGACTAAATATTAGCAAATTAACTAAAAGCGCCATCTCTTCCACATCCGTTGTGCTCTATACAATCACAAACTGCCTGTTTTTTATTTCCCAAACCAGTGCTCAGGGTCCACCAACAGTGCAGGTTTTGTCAGTATCTCCATTGGAATAAAAACAGGGAAATACATACATCCTGGATTGTTGGTGGGACATGAGGACTGATTTGGGAACCACTGATCTAAAATAAGCAATCTAAATTTCAAAGTGAATTGTAGGATATTAGGCATCATAATGTGCCAAAGAACGCTCCCTACAGTTGTGCTCAAAAGTTTGCATACATTTGGAGTATTAGTAATATATATACCATTTTAAAAGAAAACACGAGTGAGCAGGCAAAACACATTTCTTTTATTTCTTACGGGATTCATATTTAACTGTACGTTATGACAGAATGGCACAATCATAAAACAAAACATGGCAACAAAGAAAAAAATGAAATGACCCCTGTTCAAAAGTCTGCATACCTGTAGTTCTACATATGTGCATTGCCAACTTTAGCATCAATGACAGTGTGCAGTCTTTTTTAATAGTTTTCTATGAGGCCCCTAATTCTTGCAGGTGTTACAGCTGCTTATTTGTCTTGGCAAAATGCAAAGTCTTTGGTTGTCTTGCATGAACCGCACGTTTGAGATCTCCCCAGAGTGGCTCGATAATATCAAGGTCAGGAGACTGTGATGGCCACTCCAGGACCTTCACTTTTTTCTGCTGTAACCACTTGAGGGTCAACTTGGCCTTGTTCTTAGGTTCATTGTGATGTTGGAAACTCCAAGAGCATCCCATGCGCAGGCTTCATGCAGAAGAATGCAAGTTGTCTGCCAGTATTTTCTGATAACATGCTGCATTCATCTTTCCATCAAGATCCCCAGTGCTTTTAAAGATCACACACCCTCAAAACAGCAGTGAACCACCACCATGCTTCACAGTGGGGATGGTGTTCTTTTCAATATAGGCTTTGTTGACCCCTTTTCAAACATAGCGCGTGTGGTTGTGACCATAAAGTTCTATTTTGGTCTCATCACTCCAAATTACAGTGTGCCAGAAGCTGTGAGGCGTATCAAGGTATTGTCGAGCATATTGTAACTGGGCTTTTTTTGTGGAATTGGCGCAGCAAAGGCTTCTTTCTGGCAACTCAACAATGCAGCTCATTTTTGGTCAAGTATCATAGTATTGTGCTCCTTGAAACAACCACATTGGTTTTTTTCCAGAGCAGAGTATTTCTCCTGAGGTTACCTGTGGGTTTTTGTTTGTATCCCGAACAATTCTTCTGCCAGTTATGGCTGAAATCATTCTTGGTCTAACTGACCTTGGCTTGGTATCAAGAGATCCCTGCATTTTTACCTTCTTAATAAGTGATTGAACCATACTGACTGGCATTTTCAAGGCTTTGGATATCTTTTAATATCCTTTTCCATCTTTATGAAGTTCCATTAACTTGTTATGCAGGTCTTTTGACAGTTCTTTTCTGCTCCCCATAACTTAGTATCTAGCCTGCTCAGTCCATCCAAGTGAGAGCTAACAAACATATTGAGTATTTATACATGGACACTAATTGCATTTTAAAAAGCCACATGTGTGAGAAATAAACCTTTAATTGACATTTTAACCTGTGTGTGTCACCTTGTATGTCTGTAACAAGGCCAAACATTCAAGGGTATGTAATCTTTTGATCAGGGCCATTTGGGGGATTTCTGTTATCATTATGATAAAAAAAAAAGGAGCCAATAATAAATAATAAATGGCTTCATATGATCACTATCCTTCAATAAAATAATTTTTTTGTTTACATGGTCAGTCATATTTTCAAAATCAATGCCAAAATTTCACAATTTCTGCCAGGGTATGCAAACATTTGAGCATAACTGTATATTACACACTTATATTCTGCAATTAAAGAGCAAGTTTGTATTTATGAACAGGCTATGCAAAGTCTCTTGACAGTAAAGTTCATTTTCGTATTTGTTCTGCAGTTTATGCCCAAACCAGCGAGGAGTAAGATTCAGAATGATCTAGAGCCGACATGTATCCTTCATGTTCTCATGCAAGGGTGTATTCTTCTTCTCTGTGAATGGTTAACATCCATGGTAGTCATAGAAATAAAAAGACTTTGTCTATCGGGATTTTACAAAGCATATTACGTCCAATGATTTAAATATAGAAATGTTCCAGAAAGTTTAAAAATGCCTTAAGCTTTCAAGAGTTATTTTACAGCTTCCAAGATTATGGATTTATAAGTGATTTTTTAAACATTGTTTATTATTACTCCTATGAGCAGTTTTAATTTTTTTTTTTCCACTTATTATTCACAGTGTCATTTTTCATAAAGTATATCAATCATAATCTTGTCAATGAGCATTCAGGAAACGTGTTGGTTGCACACTGACAAAGCAAACGCAAGTCCAAAATTTCAGCCAGGGGCTCCCCTAGACCACCTATGCTGACTGAAAGGGCTACAAAGACATGAGTCTCTTGAGGAATACCATAGGAACATAGCAGCCCTATGGATTTAAAAAAGCACAAAACAATTAAAATAAATGAAATAGTATCGTAGCATTCAATTATGATAGTCTCACTCAAAGTTTCTATCATGCTTCTCGTCTGTACAGCTATCAGACTGCATGTTATCGGTTTCCAACAATAATTATAATGTTTAGACACGTCACATTAGCCAGCCATTGAACTTTGTACTTTGTTTGTTTAAGAGTCACTATACTCTTTAAACTTCCACAAGGCTCACTTGGCAAGAATCCAAAGGTGAACGTAAGACTCAAAGGTTTCACACTGTCAAAAAGCTTGTTGTGTTCTATATAGCATCAGGACCTTTTCAACTCTCCAGAATTCTTTTTAGATGCTGAAGAAACAGGTGACTGATAGATTTTGTTTTCCTTAAGATCTCTTCATCATGTCTTGGGAAATGGTACCTGACTTTTAAAAAGGATCATCAAGACATTCCTAATACTCGTTCATCACATTTTGCATGGCACAGCAGGTGATTTCATTATTGAATGTATTATTTATAGACCTCTGACCTTTTTGTTCATTGTGTAGATGTTCTAACTTGCATGCATACATAATTTACTAATGTTCATCCTTAGAATTGTAATTTCCATCTTACTTGAGCTATGATAAAAAGGTTTACTTTGACCTCTAGCACCTCTAGTACACAGTGACTAATTCACAGGATTGTTAGTTGCATCTGTACGCTATTGACTTGTCAAATTTCCGTTGCAACAAGGTACTTGTGTTTTGCACTGTTTTTTGTATTGTTCTGTATTTTGTTTTTACTAATTGTATATTTTCAGATCTTAGCTAACTTTAAACTGGAAATAAATGAAATTGTTACAAACTAAATGTTTAGTAAGCATGAAAATAAATTACATGGAAGCTCTGATTTTATAATATTTAAAATATATGTGTCAAATTTATATATATATATATATATGGAACAAATTGAGAGCACTCATTGGATATAGTAAACAAAAAAATTTATTAAATCAAACGCATATAAATCAACGTTTCGACCGTCTAGCGGTCTTTATCGCTAGACGGTCGAAACGTTGATTTATATGCGTTTGATTTAATATATTTTTTTGTTTACTAAATCCAATGAGTGCTCTCAATTTGTTCCATTTGTATATTTTGCACGGAGAGGCACCTGGTCATTGCTGAATTAATGCTTTTGTTATGGGATGAGTGCCAGAAACTATTGTGATTTTTATATATATATATATATAAAATATATATTTTAAATATATTTGTACATTTTTAAAATATATATTTTTTTCTGATAATGTCCTAATGCACCCAAGTAAATGTTCTATAAGACATTATCAAACATATTAATCTTTCTATTTCAAAGTCCTTTCACATATTATACAAAAAAATAAAATGTTTGTTTAATTTGTGTATTATATTTATTGGGAATTTCAAATGTATGGCCAAAAGAGCTAAGCTAGAAAAAAAATTTCTAATTAAGCTGCGTTTCCAGTTTGGCTCTTTTAGCCTTAAATTTGAAATTCACTTTGAATTTCAAATAATTCTCATCCTGTTCAAGAGGAAGATTTATCAGAGTGTTATGTTATAAATGTGAATGCTAACATGATAAAGGGAAGGAGTCACCAAATGAATGTGCCTCATGGTTCTCATGGTGGTTTCTCCACTTGTAGTACTTAAAACCACTTTTTAGAACAGAACGGTTTGATAGATTACCGTTTAAATGCCGTCTCCACTGCTTGTTACATACAACAAATCCACACAACCACTATACCCTCTCAACTCCCTGATCAGTGAGAGGTGACAGGTATCCTTAGAAACCCATTAAGCATGATGTCCATGTCTGGATTACCCTTTAAATCTATGAAGAGGTGTTGGGAATTTCTAACTACAGTATTGCAATTCACTACAATTTACTATTTAGTAAGCAAACCTTTTAAATGAGTAACACTATAGCTGTATGAAATACTTGAGTACTAAATATTTCAAGAATTTTTAATGTATATTTTAAAAAAAACAACATATGTACATAGGTAAAATTCATGTCCATAATGTAATAACTACTTTAAAACAGAGCAAGCTGATCTAATTAATAATTCATGTGGTGGTGTCAATAAAGATGCATGTAGTATATTACCAAGCTCTGATGCTTGTATAAATGACTTAATATACTATTAAACTGCATCACCAATTCCTTCAATATTTGAAGGAATTATTTATTCTTTAGAACCTTCTCAAGTCCTCAACACAATCCAATATTACTTTATAAATGTCATCCAAATCTCCTGATTTTCAGAATCAGGGACATGATTTCATACTGAGCATTATTAGCCAGAACTGTTTACATATGTATAGATTAATAGCACAGAAATATTTAAATATACATCTATGGGTGTGTGCACTGTTCTCTAATAGGAATTTAAGAGTGTATAAAAATGCCGTTTAGCATGATCTTTAAAGACTACATTCAATTCAGTCTTCAAATCTTTCATAAATTGATGCATTTTGTTTATAATCCATTAAAAAAATAATGTTTGGATGTTATTTTCACATGGTGCTTAAATTAAATGATCACTCCAAGTAACATAACCACTAAAGTACATTGTAGTGGTTATGGTGCTAGGAATGCCTTGGCTACCCCTCATTGTAAGTAGTCATACATTTTAAAACACTTTTGCTTCTTACCTGTAGCACCTGTAGTGTTCTGCAGCCAGAAAGTCAGGAGAGTGTTTCCATCTCTCTGGCTGAGGTAGTGGACATGGGAAGCCAGAGCATTGTAAAATTTTTGACTACTTACTATGAAGGGGCATCAGGGTGTGCTGTAGTGGTTATGGTGCTTGGAGTGTTCGTTTAATCAAAACATAACAAAAAAAGCCTGCAGAGAAACAATAATATTGCAAATAGTCAAATACTGATTTTAAACCCTAACCTTAATCTAAAATGGAGTCTTAACCCAATTGAATCTCAAGTGGCAAGCCAAAATCAAAGTAAAACCTATTTGAAGCCATCATTGATGTCAGCTACTAAATAGCCCGTCTTTATGTTAAAATCAAAGTCATTAATCAGTGCTGTAGTGTCCTGGCTCCCTCTCACAGTAAATAGCGAACCCATTCAAGAACAGCTTGGCAACTTACGTGCGGTCTGCTGGACGCCAATCACTCTCCTGGAAAGGCCAGAAGCTCCTGCAAGAGGTCAGCTCATTGTCTGAGAGCGTCACAGCCAATGAACATGTCTCTGGACAGCTATATTTAGCTCAGCACTACACAGGAGGCAGCAGCATTTGTCCAGCTACCCTAGGTGGATTTAAAACAATTTTTAAAAGGTTTGACTACTTACTGTGGGAGGGTGCAAGGGTACTCCTGGCATGTACTCACTACAGCAATCTATGGCGGTTCCGGTCCTTGGAGTGTTCCTTTAAGGCATCACAATATTTATCAAATAAATATTTTTACCACTACAATGCATGTGCTGCCCTAAGGGTTATCTTGCTGTTTAAAAACAGAAGGTAAAAATGTACAATTACATTGCTTGTATTGCATATGCTATAAACCTGTCTTTGGCAACAGCTTCCATTTAATATCCTGTACATACGGATCTGGATAATTACACTGGAACTTTGTCCCAACCCATAATCTTTTTTAATATTATCAATGTCGAAGTTATTTAAACTCATACAGGTTTTGCTGCATTCCGTTGGTGGAGGTGTGGCTTATTCCTACAGGTAAATCGCTCTTTGAACAGTGTGAACTATTTCAAGATATGACTGCATGCTGTTCCGTAACATGGTAAAACTCAGTGTCTTTTAGCCACTATATTCATCTTTTTTTACAGTTTAGAGGAGAATAAGCTGTCATATTTTTGTATATTTTTTAACTGGAGAGCAATCAGAATATGAAGGTTTATTTCACTTCCTTATTATTTCATATCATTATTTTAATGTATACATACGAAACCATATACATAGGTTTTGTGGCAGGGCTATGCAATGTATGATAATATACTATAACTGTATACTCTAGATGATGTTTCTTTGAAATACTTTATTTCACAGTACTTTTTTAAAAATCCTTTTTTTTTTTTGTTTCAGAGAAAAGCCTTACATGGAGCTACCATTCACCAATCTGGAAGTAGCTTTCATTTTACTGGCTTTTATAATTTTTTCCTTATTTTCCTTGGCTTCTATCTACAGCAAACCAGATGAAAACAATGAAGGTAATATATTATGCAGGTCATTAATTCTTATTCGTGTACAGTATATTGCTAAAGAAACTGTAAAATTGTTCCAGTCTTATTTAGCTCTTTTAAGCAAAACGTTCTTTGATATGTGGACTCTTTATATATGCCATTTTACAAAGGCTGTGGACAGGCCACCTTTCCACTTGTGAGTCCTCTGGATGAGTCAAGCTTGCAGCCCTTCCCTTGCCTTTGTGATGATCATCCCAGGTGCAATCAGACTGATGTAGAGAATGAAATTCCTATGTGTCTGCAATTTCAATGAGCCTGTCAACCATGTGCATAACTAACCATTGACTTACTTACATACATACATATTATTAGCCACTAACAAATCATTTTCACTACAAGCAATGTCAACATTTATAAATGGCAGGTTAAATGTTATCATTTTAAATGGATCGTTAAAAATGTAGGTTCGTTAATTTGTGATGAACAGCTAGTGATTGATTGAGAGCATTGGCTGATACTCTAAACCTATCACTGACATCATTTCAAAATCTGCTCTCAATGCTCTGTGAAATAGCCTTCATTATCGTGACTATAATACACAAATATGCTGCAGATTACCGCAGAGCTTTATAATACACTCACACAGTGCATAATACTGTGGTATGCTATAATATACTCATACAAGTTGCATATAACTGCAAACCTCTATAATGCAATATTACTAAAGGACTAAACAATACACTCACACACTTCATTTACTGGTGAGCTCTAAAATACACCCATTTACACTGCATGTTACTGTGGCGCTCTCTAAAATACTCTCATACACACTGCATATTACTGTGGCGCTCAATAATTCACACATACACAGTGCATGTTACTGTGGCGCTCTATAATTTATACACACACTGCATGTTACTGTGGTGCTCTATTATTCACACATACACACTGCATATTACTGTGGCGTTTAAAATTAATACACACACTGCATATTACTGTGGCGCTAAATTATTCACACATACACACTGCATGTTACTGTGGCGCTCAATAATTCACACAATGCAATATTACTAAAGGACTAAACAATACACTCACACACTTACTGGTGAGCTCTAAAATACACCCATTCACACTGCATGTTACTGTGGCACTCTATAATTATTACACACACTGCATATTACTGTGGCACTTTAAAATTAATACACACACTGCATATTACTGTGGCGCTCTATAATTCACACATACACACTGCATATTACTGTGGCGCTTTAAAATTAATACACACACTGCATATTACTGTGGCACTCTATAATTCACACATACACACTGCATGTTACTGTGGCGCTCAATAATTCACACATAAAGACTGGATGTTACTGTGACGCTCTATAATTTATAAACACACTGCATGTTACTGTGGTGCTCTATAATTCACACATACACACTGCATGTTACTGCGATGCTCAATAATTCACACATAAACACTGTATATTACTGTGGCACTCTATAATTATTACACACACTGCATATTACTGTGGCACTCTATAATTAATACACACACTGCATATTACTGTGGCGCTCTACACTGCATATTACTGTGGAGCTCTATAATTAATACACACAGACTGCATTTTACTGTGGTGCTCTATAATTCACACATACACACTGCATATTACTGTGGTGCTCTATAATTCACGCATACACACTGCATGTTACTGTGGCTCTCAATAATTCACACATACACACTGCATGTTACTGTGGCACTTTATAATGTATACACACACTGCATGTTACTGTGGTGCTCTATAATTCACACATACACACTGCATATTACTGTGGTGCTCTATAATTCACATAAACACACTGCATATTACTGTGTCACTCTATAATTAATACACACACTAAATATTACTGTGGCGCTCTATAATTAAAACATACACAATGCATGTTACTGTGGCACTCTAGAATTCATACACACACTGCATGTTACTGTGGCGCTCTATAATTCACACATACACACTGCATATTACTGTGGTGCTCTATAATTCAAACATACACACTGCATGTTACTGTGGCGCTCTATAATTAATACACACACTGCATATTACTGTGGCACTCTATAATTCATACACACACTCAGGGGCGTACTTGGAGCATTTGGCACCCGGGGCGGATCCTATATTTGGCACCCCTAACTTTAAAATGTAAAAAACACCAGGATTTTTTTTTATGTATTTAGCACTGAGCAGTGTTTGTATATTTTTTATGTAAGCATGTTTTTGTATGGAGTATGTGTGAGAGCATGTTCGGGTGTGTTTGCACGTATTGGCATTTGAATGCAGGTGTGCATTTTTTCTGTAGTGTGGTTTTTGAATATGGTGGTATGTTTTTATTTAGTGTTGACATTTGGAAGCAGGGTTGTATTTGTGTGTAGTGTAGGCGAAATGCTGAGATGTATGTACATATACTCATATATACACACACTGGCACACGTACAGATACACAGACACATAGGTACACACATGCAATTACATAGAAAAAGAGTCATATACAGATACATGCAAATACTGACACACATACAGACACACACACAGAGAGAGACACAAAAGCACACATACAGATAGACACATACAGATACACAGACACACCGAAACAAACACAGACACATAAACAGATACACAGACACACCAAAACAAACACAGACACACAAACAGATACACATACAGATACACATGTATAAGTGTGTGTTTGTATAGTGAATGCAGTGTGTTTGCATAGTGGATGCAGTGTGTGCGGTTGTATAGTGGATGCAGTGTGTGTAGTGGATGCAGTATGTATAGTGTATGTATAGTGTATGCAGCTTGTGTGTATAGTGTGTATAGTGTATGCAGTGTGTGTATAGTGTATGCATAGTGTATGCAGTGAGTGTATAGTGTGGGCAGTGTGTGTATAGTGTGTGTATGGTGTATGCAGTGTGTGTATAGTGTATGTATAGTGTATGCAGTGTGTGTATAGTGAATGCAATGTGTGTATAGTGTGTATATAGTGTATGCAGTGTGTGTATAGTGAATGCATCTTGTGTGTATAGTGTATGCAGTGTGTGTATAGTAAATGCACCTTGTGTGTATAGTGTATGCAGTGTGTGTATAGTGTATGCAATGTGTGTATAGTGTGTGTAGAGTGTATGCAGTGTGTGTATAGTGAATGCACCTTGTGTGTATAGTGTATGCAGTGTGTGTATAGTGTATGTATAGTGTGTGTATATGTGATGTATGGGCGGTTGGGCTGTGTATGAGTGTGTGAGTGTATGAGTGTATGTATTGTGATGTATGGGCATTGGGCAGTTGGGCTGTTGTTGGCTGTGAATGATGCACTTCCTTTCTTTTGGTTCTTTACTTCCTGTTCCTGTTGATGGAATGTTCCAGGGACTTGAAATGGTGGCTGCAGAAACCCTGTGTAACATGGCAGCAATATGAAGATCCTATTATATATGTATTAATAAAGTGACTACTTCGTTATACAGGAATTATTGACTGATTTGTACAAAACATCACAGTGGCGACGAGGCTGTAGAACCCTAACTGACATGGCAGCCATTGGCACTATAAAGGACTTTGATCCTGACTCGGATTTATGGGCCTCTTGGGTTGAAAGGCTTGAACAATATTTTGCAGCTAATGATATTCCTGACAATAAACAGGTCGCTGTTTTCCTAACAGTTATAGGAGCCAGAACGTATGATACGCTAAGGGGCCTCTTACACCCATAGAAAACTGCCAGCAAGCCATTGGCAAGCCTGATTACTCTGTTAACTAGCCATTTCCAACCAAAACCACTAGAGATAGCAGAGAGATTTAAATTCTATAAAAGAAGACAAGAGCCTGGTGAATCAGTTTCAGCATAGGCCATTGCATTACGGAAACCCGCCAGCACCTGCTGTTTAGGGGACTACCTGCACACTGCTCTGCGAGACCAGTTTGTAATGGGCATTGCAAGTGATGCAGTGCTAAGGAGACTGCTTACAGACGAAGATTTAACATTTAAAAAGGCAATGAACATGGCAAGCATTATAGAACAAGCCTCTAAGGATGCTAATCTATTACACAGCAGACTGGACAACACACAGGAGGCAGAGCTAGACATTTTAAAATTAGACGCTAATGCACGGAGTATACCACAGGGAAAGAGACTTTCAAAACAGGAACATTCACATTACAAATGTTATCGCTGCGGAGCTGCTACACATGTTGCAACTACATGCAGATTCAAGGATGCCAAGTGTCATGCTTGTGGTAAAATGGGCCACCTACAAAGAGTGTGTAAATCCACAGCAGAGAGAGGCAGTAATCGCTTGAGAGACAGAGCAAAGAATGCATATAGTGTACAAATGCAGGAGTCTTCTGAGGATTCAGATGAACAATTTCCTGTCCGAAATTTAAAAATATATAAAATAGGTTCTAATCTGGTTGCATTCACAGTTCAGGTTGTTGTAAATGGAAAGGAACTGACTATGGATTTGGACACAGCTGCAGCTGTATCAGTGATTTCTTTGACAGACTGGAAACGCCTTGAAATACATAGGCCAATAATTCAGACAACAGCGAGACTGCAGACATATTCTAAAGAGCTGTTAATACCAGTGGGATTTGTGACAGTCACAGTTACATTCAACAAGTGTAAGAAGAAACTACCTCTCTATATCTTAGAGAATGGAGGACCTCCACTTTTTGGTAGGGAGTGGATAAGGGCTCTCGGGATGCCACAAGTGCATAAGTATCCATGTCACGTGTTGAATGAAAATCAGACCAGACTTGACTGGATTAGGGAATTACAGGAAAAATATGCACCAGTGTTTGATGGCCAATTAGGGACTGTAAAGGGACAACAAGTTTCCTTAGAATTAAAGGAAGGAGCAACGCCGAAATTTTTTAAAGCAAGAATTGTGCCTTTTGCTCTAAGGGCTGGAGTGGAGGCAGAATTGAGGCGATTAGAGGAGCTGAATATCATCTCCCGGGTTCACAATAGTGAGTGGGCTTCGCCCATTGTTCCTGTGAGAAAACGAAATGGGGAGATACGGATTTGTGGGGATTTCCGCATGGCTCTTAACACACAGCTTAAAATAGATAAGTATCCCCTTCCTAGGGCAGATGATATTTTTGCATCATTGGCAGGTGGCCAGCAATTCACTAAAATTGACTTGAAAAATGCATACCTACAGTTATCTGTACATCCAGATTATTGACCACTACTTACGATTAATACCCATCGGGGGCTAATCAGGTATAACCGTATGGATTTTGGCATTTCACCTGCACCAACTGTCTGGCAGCGAACAATGGACAAGCTGTAAACTGGAATTCCTGGGACACAGTGCCTGTTAGATGACATGCTGGTGACGGGTAAATCAGAGGAGGAACATAAACAGAATGTAGAGGCAGTTTTGCAAAGACTTATGGAATATGGATTGAAAGTAGAATTTGGATAAATGCCAATTCATGCAGGATCGTCTTGAATTTTGTGCTCATGTAATTGACAAACATGGGCTGCATACAACAGATGAGAAGGCATTACAGGATGCTCCAACTCCACAAAATGTGACACAACTAGGGTCCTATCTTGGTCTGTTAAATTATTACAACCTTTTTTTGCCAAATTTAGCTCATGTCCTGTACCCTTTACATCGTCTTCTAGAGAGTAAACGACAATGGCGCTGGACAGTAGAATGTGCTTCAGCTTTCCATAAGTCAAAAGAACTAGTGCGTAGTTCACGTCTTTTAGTACACTACGACTTGGAAAAGCCTGTTTCCATTGCTTGTGATGCATCCCCTTACGGACTGTGAGCAGTCCTGTCTCATTCCATGGCTGATGGGACAGACAGGCCAGTGGCTTTTGCCTCTAGATCGCTCACAGCTGCAGAAAAAAACTATTCTAAAATAGATAAAGAGGCTCTGGCAATAGTATGGGCAGTAAAGAAATTCCATCTTTATATATATGGTCGACCCTTCACACTGCTTACGGACCATAAACCCTTATTGAAAATTTTTAACCCACAGAAAGGTATTTCAATCACAACAGCAGCAAGACTTCAGAGGTATGCCTTAACTCTGGGGGCTTATCAGTATCAGATACAATATCGTCCAAACGCTCTGCATTCTAATGGAGATGCATTCTCTAGACTTCCATTGAAAATTGATTCACAATCAACTACCACAGAAAGATCTACCATATATTTTAGTGAGGTGATAACAGCCAGAGTAATTGCACAGGAGACAGCCAAGGACTCTTTGCTGAGGGAAATACTTATTTTTGTACGCAATGGTTGGCCACTAAAGACTCCAATACATCTCAAGTCATTCCAAACAAGAGCTCATGAGTTATCAATTCGAGATGGCTGCTTAGTCTGGGGAGAAAGGGTGGTTATTCCTTTTGTGTTACAACAACAGATTCTTGAAATTTTACATGCAGGTCATCCTGGCATAGTCCGCATGAAGCCAAAGGCAAGAGGTCATGTATGGTGGACAACCATTGTTAAGGATATTGCCCGTTATGTTTCAGGTTGCACTGGTTGTGCACAAGCACAGCTGTACAACCTTGGACCTGGCCTCTATCACCATGGCAGAGAATTCACATAGACTTTGCTGGACCAGTGGAAAATAACATGTATCTGATTGCGGTAGATGCCCATTCTAAATGGCTAGAAGTTCTATTCATGTCGCAGACCACTGTAGAAGCTACTGTTAAAGCATTACAGAAACTATTTGCAACATTTGGCTTGCCCAGAGTGCTTGGACCGCAGTTTGTTTCTGGCCAATTTCAGGCTTTTCTCAAGGAAACCGGTATTCGGCATCATCGTACAGTACCGTATTATCCTGCTACTAATGGTCAAGCAGAACGTTTTGTTCAAACGTTAAAGGGTTTTCTGAGAAGTCTGAAAGCAGAAGGAAAGAGACCTGAACATCATTTGTCTGAGTTCCTTCTACAGTATCGAAATATACCTCATCCAACCACTGGACAACCTCCAGCATGCCTTATGTTAGGCTGTGAACTCAGGACAAAGTTGGATCTGCTAAAACCAGAGATTCAACAAAGGGTCATCCAGCAACAATCAAAGATGCAAGTCGGAAAAGCAGGCCGTTGTTACCAGACAGGGGATTCTGTTTGGATGCGTGTATATCATCAGGAGAATCGTTGGAAAGAAGCAGTGATAAAGGAAGTTCTGGGGCCGGCGCACTATAAAGTTTTAACCTCTGATGGATGTTAAACACGGAGACATACAAATCAACTTCGACCACATATAACAGACAACCTATCAAAGTGGGTAGGGCCACTCATGCAACCAGACACTGATATCTGGCATGGAGTTTGGCATGATGACATTTCTGAAGTCTGCAATACACCTGGTACAGAGGCTCATGATGTAATAGGGGATGATTTGGAGGAAATATGAAACTCAAGAACTGCCAAGCCACAGTTCAAGTAACCATGAAGGCTGTGGTCATGAAAATACTGGCCATTCAACAAGAGATAGAAGGGCCACAAATTACTGGCAACCAGAAGATCCATTAAGGGACTATAGTCGGAGAAACTCAACAGTGAGAAGGCGGAAATGGTATCCTAGTAGGAGTAGAATAAACTGTCCTGAAAAAAAGATTGTAGATCTTGAAGATGATGGACAGAATGATGCAGATTAAGGACACATTTTTAAATAGTTCTTTTATTATTGTTGACTTTTTACTATTTTTTTTTTCTTTGGTTGAGAAAGGAAGGAGATGTGATGTATGGGCGGTTGGGCTGTGTATGAGTGTGGGAGTGTATGTATTGTGATGTATGGGCATTGGGCAGTTGGGCTGTTGTTGGCTGTGAATGATGCACTTCCTTTCTTTTGGTTCTTTACTTCCTGTTCCTGTTGGCAGTTGGTGGAATGTTCCAGGGATTTGAAATGGCGGCTGCAGAAACCCTGGGTAACAAGGCTGCAATATGAAGATCCTGCTATGTATGTATTAATAAAGTGAGTTCTTCGTTATACAGGAATTATTGGCTGATTTGTACAAAACATCACAGTATAGTGTATGCGATGTGTGTATAGTGTATGCAGTGTGTGTATAGTGTATGCAGTGTGTGTATAGTGTATGTATGGTGTGTATATAGTGTATGCAGTGTGTATATAGTGTATGCAGTGTGTATATAGTGTGTGCAGTGTGTGTGTATAGTGAATGCAATGTGTGTATAGTGTATGTATAGTGTGTGTATAGTGAATGCAGTGTATGTATAGTGTGTGTATAGTGTATGTATAGTGTGTGTATAGTGAATGCAATGTGTGTATAGTGTATGTATAGTGTGTGTATAGTGAATGCAGTGTATGTATAGTGTGTGTATAGTGTATGTATAGTGTGTGTATAGTGAATGCAATGTGTGTATAGTGTATGTATAGTGTGTGTATAGTGAATGCAGTTTATGTATAGTGTATGCAGTATGTGTATAGTGTATGCAGTGTGTGTATAGTGTATGTATAGTGTGTGTATCGTGAATGCAGTGTGTGTATAGTGAATGTAGTGTGTGTATAGTGTATGTATAGTGTGTGTATAGTGAATGCAGTGTATGTATAGTGTATGTGTAGTGTGTGTATAGTGAATGCAGTGTGTGAATAGTGTATGGAGTGTGTGTATAGTGTATGTATAGTGTGTGTATAGTGTATGAAGTGTATGTATAGTGTATGCAGTGTATGAATAGTGCATGCAGTGTGTGTATAGTGTATGCAGTGTATGAATAGCGTATATGTGTGTAGTGTATGCATATGCAATGCATGTGTTGTGTGTAATAAATGCTGGGAAGGTGAGCAGTGTGTATTGTTTTCCACCCACCCCCACACTCTTATCTGTGTCCAGGGAGGGGACGTTTCCTTGTGGTCCGGTGGTCCAGCATAGATGGGCAGTGAAGAGGGGCCCAGTACGCTCCATGCTTGTTTCCCATCCAGCAGCAGCAGGTCCTCTGTTCTTGCGATCCGCGAGAGCGTTGCTGTGGGTTGCTAGGGCAACCCGCGGATTGCGAGAACAGAGGACCTGCTGCTGCTGCTGGATGGGAAACAAGCATGGATACTCTCGAAATGCCGCCCCTGTGAAAGTGCATCCCCGGGCACCCCCCCTAGTGAGTGGCACCCGGGGTGGACCACCCCCGCCGCCACCCCTTTAGTACGCCACTGCACAAACTGCATGTTACTGTGGCGCTCTATAATTCACACATACATACTGCATATTACTGTGGCACTCTGTAATTAATACACACACTGCATATTACTGTGGCACTCTATAATTCATACACACACTGCATATTACTGTGAAGCTCTATAATGCATACACACACTGCATATTACTGTGGCTCTATAATTCACACATGCACACTGCATATTACTGTGGCACTCTATAATTAATACACTCACTGCATATTACTGTGGCACTCTATAATTAATACACACACTGCATATTACTGTGAAGCTCTATAATGCATACACACACTGCAAATTACTGTGGCTCTCTATAATTCACACATGCACACTGCATATTACTGTGGCACTCTATAATTAATACACACACTGCATATTACTGTGGCGCTCTATAATTCACACATACACACTGCATACACCCTTCCTTCTCAAAATAGAATCCCTCATTGCCAATGAATTAAGGGGTAGTGCAGGAAAGTGCAGCAGGGGGAGATTTAAAAGAACATGCCAAACAGCTAAAGCACTCTTCTGGTATGGGGACGGAACTTACAATATCTATGGCCCAGAAAAATGAATAGGAAAGACTTGTATTTTGTCGGAAGGAAGTAATTAATTTTGCATGCTTTCTTTGGGGTATATTGAATCCTGGTCTAGTAGCAGCAGCTAATGCGAACCCTCCCCTTCTTCCCCTGGTATAGACTTTCTCATATTTAAAATTCTCATCCAACAGATTAGGGGTCAAACGGATAGGCCGGAAGAAGGGGTTAATGCCCTGGAGCCAGCGGGAGCCGCGGGAGGGAAGGGGTTAAGCCCCAGCCAGACCCAGAATCCCCATGAGACCCTTGGGAGAAGGAGGAAAACGGGGAAAGAGGGTCCCCAGATGCCCCAGGTATAGAAGGCCAGGAAAATCGCCAGAAAAGTCATGATACATATGGTATAAAGTACATCTACCATAACTATACATAAAACCTATTAAGTCAATAATAAAATTTACACCTAACACCTATTAAATCCATGTCATAAAATACATATGACATCTATTGAATACATATAAAGTACATATAATACTTATCAAAACAAAGGATGAAATGCCTATAAAACTGATAAATTACAAGTGATATTAATCACAACTAAAGGTTATGAAATAAGGATTATGTTAAATCTACATAATATCTATGAAATAACATAGAAAAAACACAGCTGCACATAGTACAGAAGCACAGCAAGAACATACAGTAAAATATATAAAAAAATATAATACAGAAACAACCTCAAAGAGGCATTGTAAACATAAAGTAATGGAGAAGAGTAATACTCTGACCTGTCTGCTTGATGGAGCAGTAAAGAAAGAGGAAATGAAGTGGTCACATTGCCTTATGTACATCCTGCTCTCCTGTGATTGGTTCTTTTTTCTATGTGTTTCTTTACTGCCATATGGAGTTACTAAAGAGAGATATGCAAAATACAAAGCCTCCTGTCATGTGGTAATATTCTAGATCTAAATGGGCTAAAAGAGATTTGGCGTCTGTCTGAAATCTGGGCAAGTGGGTTAGTTGTAAGTATGAAAGCTAATGTTGGTATTTTAACTGCCGCTAGGGCACAACAAGAGGTGTACTGAGTCCAAGGATTGCAGGCTGTGGCAAATCCGTCATGAGTGTTCATATGATAAGTCGGTAATTCCTCCATGTACCCAATGTCTTCTACTCTACAGCGCCACTCTGTCACTGTGTCACTGTCTGTACATGTGGGGATCTTCATTGTAGCAGGATTAAAATTTTGTCAGTCAATAGGAGAGAAGGTAGCCAAGAACTGCGCAGATTTGCGAATGACATGGTGTAGATGTGGTGAGATAGGTTACCGTCTAATGGTTTGCATCAATTGAATAATCTCATCCCAGAAACGATTGATCAGTAGACAGAGAATCTTTATACCAATACTTAAAATTCTGATCTAATGGATTATTATGGAAGTATAGAAAAGAAAGAAAAGAATGTGAGGAGAAATTGTTAAAAAAAAAAAAAAGAGAGAGCGAGAGAGAGAGAAATATCCAGAACCAGATACAAGTGTCCCTATTTTAGACCCAAGCCCTTAATCAATCTTAAAGGGACACTATGGGCTCAATACAACTTTAATCCATTTAAGTATTGGCCTCATTAATATACTGTATTTTTTTATTATTTGTGTATTGTTATAGTTTGTACACATATAATATACATATTTTCCTTTATAAGGAAAAAATATTGGAACATGAAAATAATTAATGGATCATGTAGGGCAAGAAGCGACAAACAAAAAAAACAAACAAATTGGTTAAATTGGTAGGATTATGGTTGCATCGCCACGTTTCAGTGCCGCCTATCTTGGCGTGTAATTGGGAGGATGTGTGAGTAAACAGGTCACTGATGGCTAGGTTCGGTGATTGGGTGAGGCACCCTGCCAATAAGAAGTGCCCTCAGGTTCCTCAGTTGATGGTAGTGGGTTACCCCCTTTAGAGACTCTTTTGTTTGTTTTTTTCCCCTTGACTGGGACCTCCAGAGGTGGTGTGGCAGAGGATGGCAGGATGAGCATTTTTACTTCATGGGGGACTACTATATCCCAGTGATACTTAACTGAATAGTCCTTCAACCTACTGGCAATCGGGCCAGCTTCCTTTTCTCAATACCAAGAAAAGGTAGATCGCTAAACGGTGACACTAAGCAGCCTTCAAACTTAATGCTCCCAATTATTCTGGAACGATTCATGATTCATTTGCCTCTGTGTCTCTGGTTACTGCAATCGTGTACCTAGGTGCCTCCGCAGGGGCGGTAGCAGACTTCCTAACATGGAACACCGACTTTATCAGTGGGAGGTCAGCACTCCTCTTGATGCCCATTGAGGTGATAAGCCTCTGGGCAATTGGCAGCAGCGCTTCTCCTCCTACATCCTCTGGAATTCCTCAGAAGTAGATGTTCCGGTATCGGTGTCGGGACTCCAGTGAGGACACTGTTCGATTCAGTTGGTGGACTTGTTGTGTGAGCCCTTTTATTTGGCTCTGTGCTTCCAGCAGTTGGCCATCCTGCTTCCAGCAGCTGGCCATCCACCTCCACTGCTTTACCTTTCTGGTGGATGACTGCAATCTCGGTATGTGCTTTAAAGACTTCTCTCAGGTATGTCTCCCTTAGTGGATGGAGACGAGTTGTTGTCCAACTCGGAGGGCTGGTGAACTCCGCTGGTTCGAGATGAGTGAGCGATCCTTCATCCTCTTGGGATTCCACCAAGGTTTCCTGCTCGCTCTGGACCTTGAGCGCCATTTTGAGTGGTAGTCGTGGCACGGGCCTCTCAAAAGAGAGCCTGATATCTTGCAATCATGGACCTTCCGGGTGTTTTCTGTATTTGCACCCATTGTGTTGTCTGGGGGGTGCGGTAAGTTTTCCATCTGCAGAGTAAGTTTTTCTGCGGCTCAAGTCGCTTTATTGCGGAGTCTCAGCAGAGCTCCACAGAGAGACATCTGGTTAGGTGCTCGGCTGTACACGGCCCCGAATATTTTGCTTATTGTTTGTTTGTATTGTTTTTGCTTAAAATAAATATATGTTTTGCAGAATGCTGCACCAAAACCCTGCCTCCTTCGACACACCTTCTCACTCCAGAAAAATACTTCCTTGTCAAATGTATGCACACAGCTCAGCCACTGACAGCACTGAATGATCTGAACAACAAAACAACCTGCATTAGACGGAGAGGTCACTACCTGCACTACCCATTTGTAGTTTATCTGACTGTCTGTGCTGTTGAGGCTGAGACTGTGTGCATACTTTTGATAAGGAAGTATTTTTGGCATAAGGGGTGTGATATTAATGAGGCAGTTTTATGGTGCAGCATTCTGCAAAACATTTATTTGTTTGTACAAAAACTACAAAAAGACTTAAGCATGCAAAAATACAGCACCAAGATCTATCAAATGCATTAAAGTTGTTTTGGTGTCTATAATATCCCTTTAACCCCTTAAGGACCAAACTTCTGGAATAAAAGGGAATCATGACATGTCACACATGTCATGTGTCCTTAAGGGGTTAAACTCCCTCTTTTCTAGAAGTTCCATATTGTTGGTGTGTCTGACTTTCTAACAGAGCTCTGCAGCAATAATACATACAGTAAAGAGCGGCACAGCAATAATACACACAGTAAACTGTCTTTAAAAATATATATATATATATTTTAATAACTTGTGCAAGTCTGTGTAAATAAGATAAATGTTCTTGTTCTAAATTACATTTTATTAATAAGTTACCTAAATTTCTTAAAACAGACCAACTCCTAATATTAAAGTGTCTCGCTTGTCTATGTGAAATGTTGGGAGGTATGCAATGGGGATGCATCTCTAGGGGCTGTTAGTTTGATAGTTTGATAGCCAGTAGAGGTGTGTTTATGTTCAAATGTAAATTATTTCATTAAAAACACAATGTTGTACATTGTCAGTCCTTAGAGATAATGTTTATGTACTGAAACACCTTCATTCAGTGGTGAAGATGTTCATTAAGGTCTTCTTCATAATTTAGTGTTCAATAAATACTGATCATTCTTTAAAAAAATACAAATACACAAAAATAGGTCCTTCTCTCAAACTCCTACTACTCCTGGGCAGCAGCAACGACTATTGCACACATCAGCCCCAATACATACAATAAAAACCAAAGAATAAAAGAGTTACCTGCGCGCTAGCCCAACTCTCTATGCAAATTGAAATAAATGGAGGTTATTTCGTAACTCCAATGGCCATTAGATGTAAGCCCACCTTCCACTTCAAGGCAAAAATCATTGATAGGGTCCTACACTAACAATTCACCTTGCTCCCTTTAACTTTAGGCAAAGAAATCTCTAACGAGAAAGAGAGGGGTATTTTTCCAGACCCCTACACACGTATTAACCCTTAATAGGGAACACATGGGATGAGTGGCAGCATAGTAACATGGCTTTTTCTTTAAAAAAAAAATGCCTGGGTGCTAATCCTAATAAAATACTCTACACACACTTATGGTATTTAAAGGGATACTCTGAGCCCCCAAGCCACTATATCTTAATGTTTACTTGTACAATGTAAAACAACAATATTTACATTTATCTAAAAACAGTCCTAGAAGTCAGATTGACAGCAACTAGAATGCCTCATGCTTCTCCTTTAGTGTCTCACTGTTTTGTAATTTGTATGTATCAGACTGGCAGGATGCCACAAATGCTGCCCCTGTGCCCTAGGTTCATGAGAAGCACTGGATTGGACCAAATATCATCATTCGTGATAGATTTATCCACTGTCCTAAAATAATAATGTATCTTCAACTCTTGCTTACCGGACATTAATATTTGTCTGATTTTGAGTGTAGCTGATTTACATATTTTTATATAAAGGAGATATGAAAGCATACTGCCGCTTTTACAAATATTTCAGTTATCACGAGAGTCATCATTTTCAATTAAAACTAATGTGATATACCTATGTGGTGGTGTTTGATGCTGTCAGCTGGCTGGGTTTTTAATTTTTCATTTTTTAAGAGTACATTCAAGTATTTCAGATGTGAAGGCCTTGTATGTAAATTATGTTTCTGAAAGTGCAAGTCCGTCTGAAGATCAAGCAAAACATCCTTTAAATTGTTTGATAGCTGAGCCTTGAAATCCTTCAATATGTTGGGTGTTATTATATAGAAATGGAAATATTTTAGCTGTGACACAAGGAAAGAAAAACGAGAGAGGGGGAGGAAAGTGTGAGAAAAATAACAGTAATGGAGAGAAGGCGAACAGGGAGAGGGAGACAGAATGAAAATAAACAGGGAGAGAAGAACATTAAATAAAATAGCAAAACATTATTGCAGCTACTGCATCTACACTAGTTCAATGTGTTTCTGTAATGAATATATGCAAATGTTAACTGTGATAATAGTGGTTTATTTATATATTGTGTTTTTCTTTTACATGAACACCTATCCATCATTCAGTCATTAATCCGAAAGGACATCCCAGTGTGAAGAGTGTGTCCTTTTATTGTTGTTTTTTTGTTTGTTTTTTACAGATTATGTCCATTTGAAATGTTGGGAGGTATGCCACAGGGATTGGGCAGACTGTAACTAAAACAAAAAGAAAATACAAAAGGGACAGTTTAAGTATTACTAGTCCAAAGAGGTGGATGGGGTAAATGGAAAAAAAAAAAAGCAGAAACATCATAAAAATAGCCATGGACAGAACTGCAGGCATACAGGAATATACTTCTGTGATTTTAACACAAATTGAATCCAAATGGCAAACAAGGCAAAAATTAGACGAGTTGTCATTATGGCTGAGTCAGAAAATGTTTCCAGAGTAGCTATTTTTCCTTTTCTTTTTCTATTGTGGTTTAATTCACAAAAATAGTGAATAACCGTAACAGAAAAACACAGGAACAAGCCATGGTCAAGGAATGCAGATATCAGAATTGTCAAAATTAAACAGCTGACAATTAAGAAAACTCAATAGTGGACTCCAGAAACCGTAAAAGAATCCAGAATGATGGTAACTCGAATAAACATGGCAGTAAGAATCATTACAGCTGCACCAAAATCTTGGAGATGCATGTGCTGAAATAATCCTTAAGGTCTGGAGCTGCCTGGATGATGTGAGTCCAATCTGCTAAAGTAGAGGTACTATGGGAATTGACACATCTAAATACACGTTTATCCTCTATTTTAGTATTTATTGACTGTAAATATTCTCACTAATATATACTCATTTACTTTCTCCCGAAACTTTCCATTTTAAAAAAAGCATTTACAACTTTTTAATTTTTCAGAGTAGCTCCAGCTTTTTTTCCTGTACATGTGTGTTTGTTTGTACAGTCTCTCTTATATATCTCTTTTAGAAAGCTACGAGAGAATCCGGAAACGTTGCGTAACAGTTATACTGCATGTGTATACAGGTGCACACAGTGCACAATGTCTTGTAAATTCCTCTAATTTCACCGGGGTACATTGTGCATAAAGATGATCAATAAACTGTTGCGACAATAAAGAGAATAATGAAGGTGTAATGAAGGGCGACAGAAACAAGAAGCTCCTAGTTCCATGACGTGTTTACATTAATGGTACTTTCAGTGTGTATTTTAACACAAGAATCTACAGCACATGTATACTCTGCAATTTTTGTGCAGTCTGCCATTGACATGACCCATGCTTTTGTTTATGCACTGCACACCGTGTATCATTAAGAGGGGTCTGTTTGGGCATTAGCTGTCCATGCAAGGTAATTCTACATCAAGCTTGTGTTTCTGTCATGTATGTACAGCCAGGCTATTGACCTGTGCCAGTACATGCACTCAAAATATCCACTTGTATATTTAATTTTGTCTATTCAATGTGAAGCTTAAGAGTTCTTAGTTTAAACTAGTATTTCACCTTGGGAAATAGTCTAGTATGAGCTTATGTAGGATTATACCACCTGAAGTGTAATCAGATTTGTGATTGCAAATATATTGCACATAAAAAAGAAGTCCCATGGTGCATCCTTTATAGTAAATGGTGCGTATGTTCATTTAGAAGATAAATAAAAACCAAAGAAACAAGTGCTCTTGAACTAATTACATTTAAATTAGCACTAATATAAACATTCTTCACAGGTATTACAATGTGTTTCTGACTGTTTTGCTGAAAGCAAGAGTGAATCAATACCTAGGTACTTAGAAGAAAATTTTTTTCCAAGATGTATATACTGATAACACTGTATATAATGGTTGCATAAAGAGAGAGAGAGTTTATGTCCACCTGCAGTTTTTTATTTAACTTTTTTTATGTTTTTAACCAGTGACATACTAAGATGGGGGCAGGGTCATGTGATGTTGCTTTCAAATGTTGTCAACTCAAGGGAGGTGATGGTGTTGTTTGTTCTGCTCATGCGCAAAACTGTTTGCAATTTTTTATGGTATCTATTTAAAGTGTTTCAGTGAATCATCAAGTCCTTATGGTTGTTAAATTTGATACGGGAGAAATTGTTCCATTAATATTTTGTTAAATGTTCTTGGTTATCTTTGTGATCCGTTGGCATTGATTAAGCTGTTAACATGTCATTACATTGTAGTTACAATATGATAGATTTAGATTGAGGACATTGTTACCAGATCTTGAGCTGTTATCTAAAGTGATTGTGAAATAGCAAGACTTTTTTTAGAGAAAAGAGAAGCCTGTGTGTTGAGGCTTCGAACACATGTGATTGCGTCTTTCTAATGCTTGCCTATTACATCTGAGTGACATTAAGAACACTGTGCGAATATCTTTTTTAGCCAGATTACCATTAAGGCTGCTGCCTAGGGCCCAGAGCACAGGGAGTTTGACAAAATCAGGGGGGGGGGGATACTATGGGGGGAGCAATGAAACAGTGGGTAGGTCTGGATGATTGACATGCAGACTGGTGTGTATTCATGCCAGGCTGACCTGGCAGTTCTTCAGGCTGCCCACCAGTGATGCTCTATTTTACACTAGTCACCAGCGTCATGATTCAAGGTACGCCGATGCTGGGGTGTATGTTTCTGTAATGATGAAGAGCATAGAAGTATAATACATAGTGTAATCTAGAATATTAAAGCTGGATTAATGCGGTTTAGGAGGTGTTTGGTATCGCGGGGACTTATAGTTAAGTAAGGGGGGCTTTTGTTTCCCAGCTCACCTGTTACATAAACAGATTTATTTTTTATTTTTTTTATTTTTTTTGTTTGTTTCTTTTAAAAAAAAATTAAACAAATATTAAACAATTGAGTTCAACATCATCTTTCAGGTCACAACAAACCAAAATAGTGTATTAAAATGTTACAGTAAATCTCCATATATTTTGTTTCTCAATTAAATAGTTTTTAAACATTAATATATGGAATTATTATACTCTTGAGTTGAGCTCTTTATCAAAGTTTAAATCATCAAAAAGTATATAGTACAAAAAACATACAGTAAATAAAACATACAACATAAAAACAGATTTATTTTTTTACTGCAGATACTTTCGCAAAAAGACAAGTCTGTATTTAAATATCCTAGCAGAGAGAGCTAAGGGAGGACCACTACCCACTTTCCAAAGTATCGTGCGAATTAGTTAGGACTAGTGTTTATTCGCTAAGAAGTGAATTGCAGTGGCTTTATAACACATTTCAAAATGTACACTTTTAGAACCTAAATCAGTTATTTTGGCTTAATTCTGGAATTCTGTTCAGTTTCTATAGTTCACTGTTTAGTGAATAAACAATTTTTTTTTTTTTCATTTCTGATATTTCACATGTAAAATAGTTCATTTTCATGGTAAATCTTCAGAAACAGTCTTAAAAATAAAAAAAACTCCCAGTTTAAAAGCAGGGGAAAAACACATTATATTGTAATTGTAATATATCCTCTATGGCGGATAGGTAATCCTTTTAATAGACAGACAGACAGGCAGACAGGCAGACAGACAGACGGATAGATGAGATTTTGAATTAAAATACTTTTGCTTTTGGTTGGATGGTTATGTCCACTACACATAAATAAGCATATGAATCATTCGGCATATGCAATAATGATCAATAAGCAGTTGTATAATTTATATGATACTTAACAGAACTGTTTGGTAAACAACTGTCTACATAGCTGGGTTAACCATAAAGTGAGCTAAGGTGTCTGCCTAGGGTCCAATGATGACAGGGGCCAGAACCACGAATATACTAGGTTGAGTATTTACTGATTTATTGTGTTTATACTAAGAATAAAATGGGGCCCCAAAACTGATAACCAGTCTAGAGCAATTATGTGCTTCCATTCAATAAACACTGAACCTACTGAAACAAAGGCAAACAATTATCTTGCAACTACAATTTCTAATACGTTTTGCTTAAAAATGTTACTAAAATGTTTGTTTTTTTCTGGGTTTTTTTCTTTCACCTATGCTTAGCTAAATAGAAACCGGAATACAAAAATATAACAAGTGAACCTAAATGTAGATAAAATGCAATTTATTTGTAGGCAGCCACAATGGTTCACACTGAAGGATGTAGGATTTCTAGGTTGCTATATATATATATATATATATAAAATAATAATAAATAAATATAGATAGATAGACCAATTTATTTGAGTTGGGCAGTGTCTTAAAAACACTACATTCTTGGAAATGCCTAACAAATGAGTTTGACAATCTATAGACTGTAATATAATGCAAAGAAATATTTAAATATGTAATGCCATTTCAACTTGCGTATCTGTAAGTTCCACAGAAAGTGTGTCAAGAGCAAGAACATTTGAGAATATAGAGCAGAAGGAAAGGAAAACTGTGTTTTTTTTCTTCTTAATTTTCTACATGTTGGGTTATACAAGAAGCATGTGTACTCTGCCAGTTGACTTAAGCCATTATTTGTAATACTTTTGGATTGTTCTTTTACATATCTCAAAAACAAGGGGGAGAAATATGGTCTGTGAAGATGTATAATTATCTTTACATTTTATCCATAGTCCCCTTAGATTTTTATGCTAATCACACATTTGTTAGAGTTAAAAGTGATTTATATTTTTGGTATAGACGTTTTAAAGATGGTTTCTGTACTTAAAAGAAAACTATAGTCATCCTAATGTAGTGGTTCTGGTGTCTATAGCATATTACTCCAGTGCTAACACTGTGGACACTGTGCTGGCTAGTGACACCTCTAGCAGTAGTCACTCAGATGGCCACTAGAGGTGCTTTATAGTCCAGTACAGTGATCAGCAACTGTGTTCAGCATCTCCATGTACTACATGGAGACGCTGAACACTCCCCATAGGGATGCACTGGTTCAATGCATATCTATGAGAAGATGCTGATTGGCGCAGCACAGCAATTTGCCACACATACACAATAGCCTCCTAATGCTTTCCTATGGGAAAGCATTGGATTGACTAAAATCATTAGGACTGATGATGAAAGCCATTGATGCAGGGGAAGCCATGGCAAGACAGGCTGCGTGAGGGAGAAAAGGTAAGTTTCATCACCTTATTTCTCCACAGAGCGGGGGCTGAGGACCCTAAAAAATAGTCCAACACTATAGTATTAGGAATTCATGCTTGTATTCTTAACACTACAGTGTTCCTTTAACAGACCAAACTGCTAAATGTGGCATCTATTTGCTTATCTTCAGTTAGAAACCTATCTAACTTGTTTCTTTTAATGTTTTTTGTTTTACCTGTTATACTTTAGGAAAGCTGTTTAGAACAGGTGTTTCCAGTATTTCATATTTTGTTTAATTGAACCTGTTTGTGTTCCTTCTAGATTTGCTGCCTTTTTAAATATATTTGTCCTGCTTTTCGTGATCTGATCAATTTCCTACTATGACCTCAATGCATTTTGTTGGAGAAGCTTTCAAAATAATTTAATGTTTTTGGATGAACTTTTAAAATGGTTTAATGTTATGAAAAATATTTAAATTTTATATTTTTTTGCCATTTTTATATAGTGATATATAATATGTAGAAACAAATGTTTTAGAATTATATTTCATAAAGTTTATCCAATAATATTAAATCATTTGGAAAACTTATCCAACAATATTAAATCGAGGCCTATGCTTGCCGCCATTCCTGTACTACATGTAACTAAGCACAGCAGTGCGGCTGTTTACAGTGATTAAAGGTGACAACGTTGCTCTCTGAATGCACAAGTGAGCAAGTGAGACAAATCTTGTGTCATATATAACAGCTGATTCTGACCCACGATCGCTGAAAATAGCTGTGCACACAATAAAAAGAGAGTGCCTGATTATTCTGTAAAAGTGTATGAGAGCATGTGAAATGGTGTGAGACTGTCTTTTTTATTCTGTAATACTGGATTTGCCATTTTCTGAATGTATCTGTGAGTGTGTCTGTATATCTGAGTGTTTATGAAACAGTGTTCGTATGAGTCTATGTTTCTAAATGTGTCAATAAGAGGGATTGTGAGACTGGTTGAATGTGTATGTTACTTTCCAAATGTGCCTACTAGAGTGTTCCTAAGAGTGTTTGTGTGTGTATGTGAGTTTCTAAATGTATATATAAGAGAGTTTGTAAGAAAGTCTGGGAGTGAGCGTATGAAATTATAAAAGATTCTAGCTGTGTCCTTGTGCCTGTGAAAATGTTTACCTACCCATAAGTACTGATAATTATAATTTAAATCCATTAACTATTACAATGGAAATGGACATATACTGCATTGCTTGTTGTGCTTAGAGTGTAGCCCATGTTGTTTCTCACAGGGTACCTGGAGATCTAATGCCTAGCTCAGGTTAAACTATTTAATGTAAGCTCTACACCTCAGGCACCATAACTGCATAAAGGTTTCAAAAAGTAAAAGTCTCGCTGACCTAGATTACATTTCTATTGAGCCGATAGTTTGTCCTCACACTGTAAAACTGATCTCTTATCCTTTGAAAATGTATAAAGCCAGAGCCGGACAGCTGGAACTAAAAAATACATATGCAAGTTTAGAGAATTGGTTAACCGAACAATAAACAGTCCTGAGCAAACAAGATCAAAAGTCATGGGAAGGTTAAATCTCAAAAGCTAGTTACCTAATGTATCTGATTGCTGTCAAAGTATTCCTGGAAACACACATTCTCCTTAATGAAATGTATTATGTACCCAAAATGCAATCATTTAGAAAATGTAGTTTGCTAACTCAAGACAAATAATTTTAGTTAACAGAAAGCAAGTAAATTTAGAATTCGGTACATTTCTTGCCTTACTTTATATTAGAATAATAAAATGTACAATGAAATAAATTTTGTTGAAAATAATAACAAGTAATCATAATCCATAATAAATGTATAGGTTGAATGGAAATTGTTAGGCACCCATGTAACCAAATCACATAGCATTATTGTTGATTTTCTCAGTAAAAAGAAGTTAGAATATAACCAATGTTGCGAGCAAATATAAACGACACATATTTCAGAAAATGTGCATGCGCAATTACTATACAGAATTTAACTGACAGACAAAGAATAAATAAAAACAGAATTATGACATCTGCAAAATGGTGTGCTCTGTCTAGATAACCAAATAATTATTTCTAAAGTCTCAGAATCTTTTTATCTTATTGTCCACACCAACTTGTTAGGCCTTAATCATAGTCTTAATCAAATAGTCATAATGACAGTTTTTAAAAAATTTTAATTCATTATTTATATACCAGTGCACCAAGCATAGTCCAAATACACTTTGTTCATAAGCACCAGCCAGTACTGGATTGTGACAATTTTATGTAACACTGCTGTTAAAAGCTACACTTTACACACCATATCCCAGATCTTCCTATCAAGCATGCAGGATAACCATACATCAAGTGGTAAAGTCATCCCATAGGGTCCATATTTTCCCATACCTAGGTAGTGAATAATGTACAATAGTGATGAGCCTGTCCATTAGGTAATTTTTGCAATGACCTGCAGGGAAGGGAGCTCTGTCTAATGGCCGTACATGCCGCCAATGTGATTTTATTCTGTTGTTTCTGCTGGTGAGTGGGGAACCCATCCAGCAGTTTAGATATCAAAAAGGACCATAAGTCCAGCTGAAAGTATCTGTGAAAAACTTGATGTAGGAGGTTCTGGATAGAGCGCCAAAAAGATGCCACCTTAGGACAAGACCACCACATTATTATTATTATCGCCATTTATATAGCACCAACAGATTCCATAGCGCTTTACAATATTATGAGAAGGGGGATTTAACTAGAAATAGGACAATTACAAGAAAACTTGTACAAGAAGGGGGAAGTTATCATCATGGGTGACTTTAATCTTCCTGATGTAAATTGGAAAACAAAATTAGCTACTTGTGCCAGGAGCACACATATTCTAAACTCCCTACTGGAGTTCTCTCTAGAGCAAGTTGTTGAGGAGCCAACTCGTAAAGAGGCCATACTAGATTTAGTGTTAACAAATGGAGATTTGGTATCAGATGTTACTGTAGGTGAAAGTTTAGGATCCAGTGATCATCAGTCAGTGTGGTTTAATATAAGAACAGTGACTGAGTCACACCACACAAAAACAAAAGTTTTAGACTTTAGAAAAACAGACTTTTCTAAAATTAGAATATGGGTAGAGGAGTCATTATCAGACTGGAGCAATTTAAATGGAGTCCAAGAGAAATGGGATTATTTAAAAGTTGCACTATTGAAGGCAACAGAAAATTGCATTAGGCTTGTCAGTAAAAGCAAAAAATTCAAGAAACCACTGTGGTACTCCGCAGATGTGGCCAAAATAGTTAAAAACAAAAAGTTAGCATTTAGGAATTATAAAAAAACCCAGAGTGAGGGAGACAAAATGATCTATAAGATTAGGCAGAAAGAGGCTAAGCAAGTTATAAGAGCTTCCAAATCACACACAGAAGAGAAAATAGCACAGTCAGTAAAAAAGGGGGATAAAACATTTTTTAGATACATAAATGAGAAAAGAAAAGTAAAACAAGGATTAGTTAGATTAAAAACAAAAGAAGGAAGGTATGTAGAAGAGGATAAAGGTCAGGCTGACTGCCTCAATTAATATTTTTGTTCTGTATTTACAGTAGAAAATGAAGGAAAGGGACCTCAGTTGAGAAAAAGAATAAATGAGTCATTTATTACACGTGAGTTTACAGAGGAAGAGGTTCTATTTCAACTGTCAAAAGTAAAGACAAATAAGTCAATGGGACCTGATGGAATACACCCAAAGCTATTAAAAGAGCTTAGTGGTGTACTAGCAAAACCATTAACAGATTTATTTAACCAATCATTGTTAACAGGAGTAGTCCCAGAAGATTGGAAGTTAGCGAATGTTGTGCCCATTTACAAGAAAGGTAATAGGGAGGAGTCGGGCAACTATAGGCCAGTAAGCCTTACTTCAGTAGTGGGGAAAGTGATGGAAACCATGTTAAAGGATAGGATTGATGAACATCTAAAAACACATGGATTTCAAGATCAGAGACAACATGGGTTTACTTCAGGGAGATCATGCCAAACAAATCTTATTGATTTTTTTGATTGGGTAACTAAAATTATAGATCAGGGTGGTGCAGTAGACATTGCTTACCTAGATTTCAGTAAGGCTTTTGACACTGTTGCACATAGAAGGCTTATCAATAAACTGCAATCTTTAAGTTTGGATTCCAATATTGTTGAATGGGTAAGGCAGTGGCTGAGTGACAGGCAACAGAGGGTTGTAGTTAATGGAATATATTCGAAGCTTGGACTTGTCACCAGTGGGGTACCTCAGGGATCTGTACTTGGACCCATTCTCTTTAATATTTTTATTAGTGATATTGCAGAAGGTCTTGATGGTAAGGTATGTCTTTTTGCTGATGATACTAAGATATGTAACAGGGTTGATGTTCCAGGAGGGATAAGCCAAATGACAAATGATTTAGGTAAACTAGAAAAATGGTCAGAATTGTGGCAACTGACATTTAATGTGGATAAGTGCAAGATAATGCATCTTGGACGTAAAAACCCAAGGGCAGAGTACAGAATATTTGATAGAGTCCTAACCTCAACATATGAGGAAAGGGATTTAGGGGTGATTATTTCTGATGACTTAAAGGTAGGCAGACAATGTAATAGAGCAGCAGAAATGCTAGCAGAATGCTTGGTTGTATAGGGAGAGGTATTAGCAGTAGAAAGAGGGAAGTGCTCATGCCATTATACAGAACACTGGTGAGACCTCACTTGGAGTATTGTACACAGTACTGGAGACCGTATCTTCAGAAGGATATTGATACCTTAGAGAGGGTTCAGAGAAGGGCTACTAAACTGGTTCATGGATTGCGGGATAAAACTTACCAGGAAAGGTTAAAGGATCTTAACATGTATAGCTTGGAGGAAAGACGAGACAGGGGGGATATGATAGAAACATTTAAATATATAAAGGGAATCAACACAGTAAAGGAGGAGACTATATTTAAAAGAAGAAAAACTACCACAACAAGAGGACATAGTCTTAAATTAGAGGGACAAAGGTTTAAAAATAATATCAGGAAGTATTACTTTACTGAGAGGGTAGTGGATGCATGGAATAGCCTTCCAGCTGAAGTGGTAGAGGTTAACACAGTAAAGGAGTTTAAGCATGCGTGGGATAGGCATAAGGCTATCCTAACTATAAGATAAGGCTAGGGACTAATGAAAGTATTTAGAAAATTGGGCAGACTAGATGGGCCGAATGGTTCTTATCTGCCGTCACATTCTATGTTTCTATGTTTCTATAAGAAACCAGTTGTGCCAGTCAAGCTGCCCTATGGTGCATAAGTAGGATTGGTAAACCAAGACAATGCTGGTTTAAGGCAAAACAATAGCATCAATAGCACTCTGGAGAGTATCTAGGTCCAGTTTGGGGACCAGGCAGGGAAGAGCCTGAAAGAGGAACACAAGGCGAGGAAGTACATTAATTTTTACTGAGTGAACACGGCCCATCCAAGAAATTGTTTTGTGACCCATTTGTCTAGATCATTCCATATAGTGTGAAGGAGAGGGCCATAACTGCATAGTCTCATCCCTACAGACTGCAAGGTAAATTATGGAGACTGTTTGGGTCTGAAAACCAAAACGCTCCTGAATCTGTGCCGTTTCCCCAGCCAACAGGCTTAGCGGCGTAGTGCTAGATTTCCTTGTATTAACTTAATATCCCAAGACTGCTCCAAAAAGGCTGAGGAGGTTACAGAGGAGAAAGTGATTATGCTTTTGGGGTTTCCACTTATCTCCAGACCTCCCTCAGGGAAGTAACGATTAATGACAAAAACATAAAGAAATAATCACTTTCTTTTTAATACATATTACATTATAAATTATTATACTGCAATGTTCAAAAAGTGGTCCAACGTACTAAAAGTGGGGTAATCACCACTGAAGCCAGTGGAACAACCAAAAACACATTTCATTGGGGAGGCACTTTTATATTTTTTCACCATTTTCAAAACTGAACATTTTGATAAATCTCCCGTAATGTTTCAGACCATGTTCACAGAAAATAAATCACCAAATCTTCTATATTAGCTGCTAAACCCTAGAAGCTCAAACCTGCGTTTGTGGTTACTCTATTAAGGACAATCAGTTCTTCATATCTTGACCCATCTCATTCTACCTGTTATAAATATATAAATAGATATGTTCATCATACATAAGTCATGTGTCATGGAGAGGTAGAGTGAGATGGAGTCATGTAGATGAAATTAGTATCTCGTAATATCTTTTTTGACTGCACTAACAGAATATATATATATATAATGCTTACATGTTATTGTTAATTATAGATATAATTTAATTAACATTCAATATAGAGATTGATTGTTAACATTCGTAATATATAAAGGTCTCAGGAAGAGGGGAAGACTCTTGAAAACTTGTCTTTAAAGTAATATGCTAGTCCAATAAAAAAGGTATTATTGCATAATGCAATACTCTGGTATTTTGGCATATTATCTACTGGACTAATTCGATGATATAATCCAAAGTAGATGATAGATAGATAGATAGATAGATAGATAGATAGATAGATAGATAGATTGTTTGTACTAAGTCTATAATAGGAAATTTCCCAACTTTGTCGCACATTTTTTAACATCCTGTAGAGGGCATATTGTCCCAGTTAATGGAGCCGCACCAAAGCTATGAATGTAACAAAACGTTTGAGAAGACATAACTTGCCTGTAATCCAGTGCCACGACTGTCTCCTCTCTGCAGCTTCTCGTCCAGTTCTGATGGCTTTTGTCCACATCATTGCTCCACTAATCTAATGTTTATCATAGAGAATCAAGTAATTCAATGCTTTTCATAGAGAAGCAATAGATGAATACTGCATCGTAATTCTGTGCCTGATAATGCCAAATGTAAAGACCTTCAAAAATCAAATGTATTCAGTGAAGAAGTGCCTTTAGTGACTGTCAGTCTGACAGCCACTGGTGACATGGTTTAGGCAAAATTGAAACATTAGTAAAAAGATAAATCACTGGTAACTATGACAATAAAAAAATGTGTGCATACAAATACAGGTGTGCAGCTACATACAAATACAGGTGACTTGAAGAAGAAAAAAACTCAAAATATAAAGTAGTATGTGCAAACTATGTACAAAGCAGAAGAAACCGTTTCTATAGAGAAAACAGATATTTCTTTAATAAAAAAATAAAATAAAAAAAAATCACAAAATATTGCTGAAATCCTTACTCCTCTCTCAAATGACACTCAATCTCTATTCAAGAGACAATTCTCATGTACAAGTGAATCCTAATAGTTGTAAATAGGCAGATGTAAAGTACCACAATCACAGCATACTGTGGCAGCCGATAGTGCTTTGATAATTAAAATAAGAACTACCACCAGAACACCTCAGGCCAGGAAAACTGCAACAGTTTCAAAAAATGAACCCGCGTGTTGCAACCTAGCATTAGGGGTTATGGTGTGTCAACATGTATCAAATGTAAAACACGTAAAAGTTGATCTCCTTCATATCAGTAAGGAAAAACAATGGTAGAAAATCCAATACTTTAAACACAATGGCTGATTTCAGCAGTGCTGTGTTACTTATAGGCTCACAAGGAATACAATATATACGAGAGTGCGTGCTAGTGAACAGAGATAAGCGCCTTAGATCAATACATCCATAACTGTGACACTTTATAAGATAAAAAGTACCTGACCTCATGGTGGGCCCCCACCTGAGGTAAAAAACGCCACGTGAAAAATAGAAACTGAGAAAGAACTAGTTTCTTCAGTGAAGGCTGATAGTTGTCGATGAGCACTCAGTCGTGGTATATTGCTGGTAAACTGACAGGTAATCACAGGCTGGATATCAGCTGCATTATTGCCGCGGTTGGAATTTTTAAAAAAGACCGATGTAAATGGTGGCTTGGTCTCTGGAGTTCTATTGGAGAACAGGAAACAGCTGAAAAGTCTGTTACATCTATGCATTTTATTCCTCTCACAGAACTTTCTCAAGACCTGAAACATTAACATGAAAATTGAAACATTAACATGAAGTGCTTGTTTGTATATGAACAAGATAGAGAGAGTGTGTCAGGTTGCTTTAAGAAGATGGGGGGTAACCCCTAGCAAATAACAATTGAAGAAAGAGGGAAAATACAGGAAAGCCCAGAGGGTACATAGAGTCTAAGTGGTACACCTACGGGTTTCTAGTATATCTAAAGCAAACCCTAACCCAATAAAATATAGCTTTTAATAATAAATTATTAAAAATAAAAAAATATATAAAGAGAAACAAGCACAATAGCTATGTATAAATTATAATGTCTAAAGTCGCAGTGAAGGGTGGTGGCGTGAGACAGGGACGATGCTGCAGCTGTGAAGATTATTTAGCTCATATCTAGCCACCCTTTACTTTTATCTTTACTACATAGTTTATTAGATGTTCAGTTAGCAGCAGGGAGTGAACGCTGGGCTACTGAGTATAGCTTATACCTTAACCCTATTATCCCTGAATCACCTGTGCCACTACTGGACAAATGTGACACCTCTCAATTTATATCTATATCATGCCTTCCTCTTCCTCCTACTAGTTAGTATTAACTTTAGACATTATATTTTATATATAGCTATTGTGCTTGTTTCTCTTTATATATTTTTTTATTTTTAATCATTTATTATTAAAAGTTATATTTTATTGAGTTAGGGGTTGCTTTAGATATACTAGAAACCCGTAGGTGTACCACTTAGACTCTATGTACCCTCTGGGCTTTCCTGTATTTTCCTTCTTTCTTCAATTATTAACATGAAGTGGTTTTGGTGCTTAGAGTGTACATTTGATATTTATAATAGTTACATTTGTGATTTATTTTTGCATGATATAATAATAATGATATAATAATATAGTGAGACTACTAGTGAAGTAATAGTTTGAATTAGCAAATGTAGTTGAATTAGTAATTAGCAACTTAACCCATTATGAATTTGAGCAAGTCATTACAGGATATTGCTTATTACAAGGGTTTGATTAAACATGTAGAATAACAAAATTATTTAATTCTTTAGCTTATTCTTTTGATCTTTCAAGCCAACCTATTTATTTATTAATGCCATTTATAAAGTGCCAACATATTCCGCAGCTCTGTATAAGTAGGAAAAGATAAACACAATAAGAATAGACCGAAACAACAGGTAGAGTACCCTGCCCGTAAGCTTACAATCTAAAGGTATGGTTACATACCTGAACCCTGAACCCAGCCCTCTTCTCCTCCCCCGCCCACCCACACACCACACACACAAAACCTTAGGCTTTTGGTCCTTGACCAGATTTTGGTCCTTAATCATATTCCCGGATTGGTTAGACTACCCTACCGATTTCTCTAGGCTAAGAAGTGTCACAGTAAAATTCCAGAAAGACCAAAACACATGCAATTGGAAACTAGCGCTACATGGGCTAATGTAAAAGGCCTAATGCATGCTCTTCATGTTTTATTTTTACCACTTGCTAGAACAATATATAAAAAAAAAATAACATATGAAATATTCAATTACTCAATATTCTATAAATAGCAGAGCAAACAATTGATGAAGAATGTCTACAATTGGGTGAAACATGTAGAATTTTAATGTACTGTATTTTTTTTTGTTTTTTGTTTTTTTTTGTTTTTATTTATGTAGTTATTCTTGCTTATTCTTCCAGAAAAAAGTCACTGGATGTTGGAAAACGACTATAAAGTGAAACATCCCATTAAGAAGAAGAAAAAGAGCAGCTTAAAACCAAGTGAAGTCCCTGAAGTGGTATAGGCTGACAGCATACAGAAGAGAAAGGGACAGCTCCTCCTAAGCCTGTTGATCAAGGATCGGATGTCTATTGGAAGTGATATTGGGAGTCATTGTAAATGAAGGATGAGCTGAACTAAATGTTAGCCATTGATCAGTAAAGAAATCCTTCAGTCATGACAATAAGCACTGTTGACAGACTGCATCCCAGTGAAGTGACTTTGGCACCTTATGTTATTCCCTCATTGCGTGACTATAAAATGAAGCATTGCTTCTGTCAGGTACTGAAAGCAGGAGATAAATGGTGTGTTAACTAAAATGTCCAATATTCCAACCATTTATTTTTTAAGTGCATTCCGATATACTTGTGTTTATTTATAGGTTATGTGCATTTCAGAAAAAATATGGTATACATCTATTTTACTAATTACTCATTATGTATATAAATTCTAATATGTTCTATTAATAATGGCTGTCTTTGTTTTTTTACTGAAAAAAACATTGAATATTATTTTCAGTTTTTCACTTTGTTATTATATATAAATTTCAATAAATAACTGAACCGAAAAATCTCAAAATACACAATTATTGAAATCCAACACATTTGAAGAATGATACAAATAAAAAGTGATCGAATTTCCAATACTTTGTGTTGTACCAAGATGAAAAAAATGGATAGATTGTGTGGCTTCGTATTTGCAAATACTTGTAAACACGTTTTTGTAAGTTGCATTTTATGAAGCTTTATAAATAAATTAATGATGGCTGGTTTTGGTTTGTACTATGCTATAAATGGCATGTGTTCAAGTATTGTTGACACAGGGAATTTCAAAAGAAACTAAATTCTATTTCCCGCAAATACTCTTTTTGCAACCAGACAAATGTAGCTCTCCAAGTTGTAGAAAATGTCAGTCTCTGTAACTAAACAAGAATTAACTCTTTGTGTTTCTTGTTACTAGCTCTGGAAATCGTTACCAGTGTAAATCTTTACTCATTAGTCAATATGTCAATATGGACAGTAAAAATGGGAAATCTGGAAGAAGATCTGGTTTCACCACAGACTGCAATTATTGCATATATAAAAACATGTAAGAATATGTAAATGATTTAGTCAACCAGAAATGGTAACTTATGGCTTGCTTTGTTGGGAATAAAAAAAAATAATAATTATATAATTAATTCTTAGGTATATTATGTATATAACATATATTTAAAAAATTAGTAAGGAGGATGGAAAACATTAGTTATGAAGAAAGTCTAGAAAAACTGCATTTGTTTTCTTTAGAATAAAGGCACTTCTGAGGGGACATGATAGCACAATACAAATATATACAGGGTCAGTACAAACTGCCATGCTCTAGCCTGTTAATTAGTAGGAATATATTAAAGACAAGAGGCTTGAAGAAAGGTGAGACATGAAGACAGGTATTTTTGCTTACAGCAGTGCAAAGATTTCTGTACAGTAAGAACAAAAAGATGTGGAATTCTCTACATTTAAGAGGTAGGCTTAAGAGATTTTATGGATATTTTTTTTAAAAAGGCTTGGATGCTTTTTAGCAAAAATAATATGTTGATCCACAGAGAAATTCCAAAATTCTAAATTCCACAATTGGAAAAAAATAGCATTCTTTTGGATCAACAGCTTAAAATAATGGGTTTCAAGGTTGAATTTGATGGAATTTGGTCTTTTTTTAACCTAGAGTACTATGTAATTATGGTATGAAAATAAATGTATTATTTAAAGATGTAAGTGACAATTAAAATAAATCCCAAATACATGAATGATTAAAGAAACGTTCCAAGTACCATAACCACTACAATACACTTACTACAGTGGTTATTGTGTCACAAGTGCCCTGGCAGCCCTGCATTGTAAGAAAATAAACTAAATTTTTTACAGCAGTTTGACTATTTAACTGGATTCTGCTGGGCACTGCTACTCACCTCCTCTACAGCTCACTGAGCTAAGTCCTGAAGTGCAAGACTAGCACAATGGCTAAAACATCAGGTGATTAGTCTCAACCAATGAGCTAAGCCATGCACAGCCATGAAGGAGCTTCCGGCTCTTACTGAAAAGTAGTAGAGATGAGGAGTTGTGTCTAATAGACCCCTCCCCAAGTAAGAAGTGAAATCAATTTAAAATGGTTTGACCCCTTACAGTGTGTGGAGGGGTTCATGGGCACATCTGGAGAAATAACTGTTACAATGAACTGTATTGGTTATGTTATGTGGAGTGTTCCTTTTAGTTAATGACTGTGACGGTCACCCCTGAGTAGTCAGGGTATTTACCCCTAGATGTCCTTTTCCCCAATCTGGAACGGCGCTGTGGAGTCCCAATACGACATCCTAGTATACTGCTATGATAAGCAAGTTCCTTAGAGCTCTGAGAAGAGCTAGTGATTACAGCAGGTATAGCATTTCCCTACAACACGAGATGAGGCTGCGAGTTGAAGGTAAGAAGGTCTGAGAGTTTAATGACACAGGCTGGATTTTTATACAATTCCTCAGGCCAGGGGAATACCCCCTGGACCTGATGGAGCACCGAATTACAAGATGTACAAACCAATAGAAACCATGTACAATGTCTAACACTCCAACATACAGCACACAATCCCTCCCCTCTACTTGGGAGATAATTGAGCAAGATACTGTAATTAACTCGATTATTCCCAAGCAGAAAAAAACACCTTTTTCACAAAGTACAGAAACAACCCAAAACATCACATATCCCCATAAATGTTATATCCCCCCTGATCTGGGTGACCAACATATGCAAAAATCACCCAGATCAGGGGAGGGGTTCAGAAAATTACTGGAAGTCCTTATTGACCAACCGCACGCATGGTTTCATGTCCAAAACAGTTCCAGAGAATTAGGCTGTGCGGTCAGTTTATTTCCAATGATTAAAGTGTTCTTCAAATAGTCTAACGGGACCGTTCGTGCACAAAGTCAGAGTTGAAGTGTTTTCAGTAGATTACTATTAGTTCTAGCGGTGTTCGTGTCATTGAGTGTCCGATTTTAGTTCCATGCACTCAACTACAAAACACCGCTGGCCGCATTCGACTAAACAAGATGGCCACTGCCACGTGTTCAGCTATATGAATGGTGACCACCCAGCCGTTCGTCAATTAAGCTGCGGTTAACCACAACTTCAATGAGGTTAACAAGCAGCACACTTCCAATTATGTGTGGTCCTGTACTTCGGCTGTTCGACGGTTCAAAGTACCACTTCGAATTACTTCGACAGGTCGAAGTGGTATTGGTAAAAGTCCCAGCAGGCAGAAATAATGTCCTAGAACCAAATAAGTCACAGGGGCCATAGTTCCAAGGTAAAATACTGGCAATTTGTCCTCTCCATAACCCAGGCGAAGTGGCCTTCATTACACAGAAAAGGGGAAACACTATAACCACTGCAGAAAAGGGGAAACACCATAACCACTGGGAAAACAGAGGGCTCCTGTTACAATGACAAAAAAATAAGTAAATATTGATCACTTTCTTATTAATACATATTGTATAATTATTACACTACTTTCCACCATTTTCGGAACAGAACACTTTGATAAATCTCCTCTATGAAAATATATCACCAAAGCTTCTATATTAGCTGCTAAACTGAGTTTGTGGTTTCTCTTTAAAACACGATCAGTTTTTCATGGCTTGACCCTGGCTCACTCTACCTGTCCATGACACATGGCTTTGCATAATGCATAAATATATAGATAGATATGTTCATCATACATAAGTCATGTGTCATGGACAGGTAGAGTGAGATGGAGTCATGTAGATGAAATTAGTATCTTGTAATATCTTTTTTGACTGCACTAATAGAATATATATATAATGCTTACATGTTCTTGTTAATGATGGATATAATTTAATTTGCATTTAATACATATCTTATTTAGTGGAGATTGATTGTTAACAAGATGTTCATTCTTTATATATAAAGGTCTGAGGAAGAGAGGAAAACTTTCAAAAACTTGTCTTTAGAGTAATATGCTAGTCCAATAAAAAAGGTATTATTACATACTGCAATACTTTGGTATTTTGGCATATTATCTACTGGACTAATATGATGATATAATCCAAAGTAGATAGATAGATAGATAGATAGATAGATAGATAGATGTAGATAGATAGATAGATAGATAGATAGATAGATAGATCTCACTCTAGCCTGACACACAGTTTATGTATAATAAATAGATGGATACATTTTGAATGGATGTATGGATATACTACTCAGGGATAATGTGATCTAGTACATTTTTTGAGCTGTATATCGCAATATTATCACTAGAATGTGCTTTTAACAGGTACTTTGTATAAGACTGCTACTGAACAAGCACCAAAAGACAGCATGGCAATCGACTGAGGTATTCAATTGGTTTCAATGACCGATTTCATAGTTTTGCTTCAAACATTTGACCCATAAGATAGATTTATCAAGAAAACAGCTGCCAAACAAGTAATTGGCTTAGAAGTTACTGATTTTGTGCAAACATGACATCATACATGCGTGCTTTATTTTACTCTCATATAATTCTGTAGGAGGACAACGCTTGGATGAGATATCTCGACCACTTAATTCATGCTTTCTTGGTCATAGAAGGAAAATCAGTGCTCAGACATTTGCTGCACAACTGCCTTTCAGAGACCTGATTGATTAATAGGTCCATTGAATGACTTTATTGCATTATGTTCAAAAAATCGCGAACCCACGCTGAAGTGTCCCTTAAAGTCCACACTGTACAGTATAAGAGAACGCCATTCTCTGGCAAGTGGATGGTCTAACTTTTAATCATTATACCCTAAATGTGAATTCACTCTAATTACATCGAAGTTTTGTGTTAAGTGACCTAATTAAATGAAGCGAGGTCAATAGTAAACGAATGGAAATGCTGCAATAACACTTCCTGTCACTTATTCACCTAGATAGAGATGCATTCAGTAGCCACTTCCACTTCTTTCCTGTCCCCTTTCATAGACACCCTCTTTACCAAGAATGTCTGCAGCTGTTCCTGCTGAGTGTCCTCCATTCAAGCAAAGTGAAGCAAACAGCAGTTGACAAAGCACCCCTTCCCTCTCCCAGCTGGTTATGAAATCTACAGAAATACCCATTGTTTGCCTTTTCCAGCTGTAACACAAGATGTCATGCCAGGCAACTCCATTATATGAAATATGTACTTCCTGAGAACAACGCTTTTGATGCAAACAAGCACATTGCATTTTGCTGCTTTCACTGAAACACTGGAGTGAGTTTTGTCTAAAAGCATTCCAGGGCAAGGAGTATGGCAAGTCAAAAAACATTTTCTAAACAAGAACTAATGTTAAAGAAAAAAGAAAATAGTTTCAGAATGTATGTCTGTACGATATACCACATTCCAACCCAAGTTTATTCCACCTGATTTGAAAGTTTTCATTCCTTTGGGGTTGTCTTTGTTTGTTTGTGTTTATATAATGGCCCAA